ACTAGCTAGAGCAATCAGACAAGAGAAAGAAATAAAGGGAACCCAGGTTGGAAAAGATGAAGTCAAACTTTCCCTATTTGCAGATGACATGATACTATATATAGAAAAACCTAAAGACTCTATCAATAAACTCCTAGAGCTGGTTAATAACTTCAGCAACGTTGCAGGATACAAAATAAATGCCCCCAAATCAGTAGCATTTATATACTCAAATAATGAATTAACAGAAAGAGAAATAAAGAAAGTAAGCCCATTTACAATTGTCACCAAAAAACTACAATACCTAGCGATCAATTTAACCAAGGAGGTAAACACCTCTACAATGAGAATTACAAACCATTTCTGAAAGAAATTGAAGAAGACACAAAAAGATGGAAAGATATTCCATGCTCTTGGATTGGAAGAATTAACACTGTGAAAATATCTATACTACCGAAAGCAATCTACAGATTGAATGCAATCCCCATCAAAATACCAATGACATTCTTCACAGAAATGGAAAAAACAATCTTACCTTTCATATGGAAAAACAAAAGACCCTGAATAGCCAAAGCAATCCTCAGCAAAAAAACCAAACAAACAAACAAACAAAAAGCCAGAGGCATAACTCTGCCTGACTTCAAATTATACTGCAAAGCCCTTGTAACCAAAGCAAATATGGCACTGGTATAAAAATAGACATTCAGACCAGTGGAGTAGAATAGAGAACCCAGAAATCACTTCTCAGGCTTATAGCCATCTGATATTGGACAAAGGCAACAAAAATCCACATTGGGGAAAAGACCGCCTCTTCAACAAGTGGTGCTGGGAAAACTGGATATTCATATGCAGAAGAATGAAACTAGACATGCACCTCTCACCACACACTAAAATCAACTCGAAGTGTTTTAAAGACCTAGGTATAAGACCCGAAACTGTAAAATTACTAAGGAAAAATATAGGAGAAACACATCAGCAGTTAGGTCAGGGCACAGGCTTTAAGAACGCATGCCGGAAAGCATAAGCAGCAAAAGAAAAAATAAACAAATGGGACTATATTAAACTAAAAACCTTCTGCACAGCAAAAGAAGCAATCAACGGAGTGAAAAGACAACCTACAGAGTGGTAGAAAAGTTTTGCTAAATATGCATCTGACAAGGGACTAATATCCAGAATATACATAGAACTCAAGCAATTATACTGCGTTTGCTCTTAACATGTATGTTAAACCCTTTGAGAGAAAAGCCAGGGCCATAGGTCAGAGCCGCGCTGCATCTCCGCGATAGAGGGCGGTGTGTACTGCCAAGTGTCACAGCCGCCCTAAGCTGCCCTTGTCATTTGCTTTCAGCGCCTTCTCCTTAGGAAAAGTGACGCCGTGTTTTAAACCCGAGATATTATTATGATCATATGTGATTAAGCGTCACACCGTCCACAAACTTCAGGAATAAATATCAATTGCTGAGAAGGGTATTAGCTCTCGTGGGGCAGCGTGTGTATTGCTGCAATCTGGAAAGCCTTGTGTGGCGCACGAATTCGTCCACCCAAACCTCCATTCTCCGCCCTACAACACACTCTGACTGACACGGAGTAAGAGCAAGAAAAAGCGTCTGGGAGGCGGGGCGAGGCGGCGCCCTAGGGCCGAGCCTGAGGGTCGAGGGGCGCGGAGCGTCACGGCCAGGCAGCTGCCGGCCCCAGGCCAGCCCGCGCGCGACACCCTGGAGCTTGGCTCTATCTGGCCCGCCCCCTGCACCCGCCGCCCTCTGGCCTGAGCTCGGAGGCCTAGCATGGCGCTGCTGGCCCGGGGCTCCCGCTTGCCTCGTGGCTTCGGATCTCGGCGGGTAAGGCGGCGCTGGAGGGGCCGAGGGCCCGGCTTCCTCCCCGCGAGCACCCTGCCGGTGCAGGCGTCCGCGGCGGCCCCCGGGGGCGCGCGAGGAGCGGGGGCTGCGGGCCTATTCCTATCTCGGGTGAAGGTTCGGTGTGGGTAGGGAAAGGGAGGGCACGTGGTTTTCCCCGTGTTCACATTCCTGCAAGTTTCCAAGTTGGGTGGAAAGAGGTGGAAAGGGGCAGGAAAGGATGCAGCACCCGCAGGCCCGTGAGCAGGAGTGGGAGAGGAGCCGGGGTGTGGGGCAGTGGGCCCAGGAGGGCGCACTGGCCTTACCTGAAGTGCTTTTTTACCAGGCAAATCTGTGTGTTGGCTATGCAGTTAAACCTTAATACAAACAAGTTCGCATGAAACTAAAACAAAAGGTGTCTGTAGACTCCCCTTCGTGGAGGTAAAGCTGGGAGGGGTGGCTTCCACCTCTATCTCCTCCACGTTGCTGTTTTGTTTTGTCAACATCTCTCCGTTAGACCAATAATCGGAATAAAATATGCAAGTGAGTTCAACCAGGAAAGGGAAGAAGGAGAAAGAAAAACAAAAAGAACAGTAAGATCAAAGGCAGGTCCTCCCCCCAACTCCATTTAAAAGTATTAATAAACTGAAAGCAAGTTCTTTAGCCAGGTAGAAAAATTAATCTGCCAACTGTGAAAAAATTGTTTTCGGTTTGACGAATGGACAGCCATGGTGTCATTTTTAAAAAAAATAAGGGCAGCAGTAGTTCCAAAGGTGAACACAAAGAACTGGTGTGGTAATTCTCACAAGTAAGAGAACTTTCTTTTCAAGTGGGATATGTTCATGGCCGAGTTTTGTTGATACTGTTTTCTCCTCCTGTAAAGACTAGGTTATAGGTGATGGGGGGGCGGGGGGGAAGCCTATATATTTTTTCTGATTTCTTCTCAACTTTCTCATTTGAAACCTGCAGCAACTCTATGAGGCAGAAAAGTCTTCAGAGATTTTTTTTTTAAACACAAATCATTAGGATTGTAGTAATGTCATACAAACCATATCCCAGCTCTTCTGTCACCGTTAGACAATACAGTTTAATAGGGAAAAAACGAACTTGTTTAAAACTTAATTGTAATCTGACAATTGTGAAATTCCCTTGCTTAAGAAAAATGGAAGTTTTGAGGATGTGGGGTATGGAGGTAAGAGAGGCACCTGTGAGTGTGATTTGTCCCCTGCCTTGCTCATGGAGGCTGTGGTTTGAACTCCTGAGAGGAAAAGTCTTAACATCTGTGCAGTGGGAGGTTGTTCCAAGGCACCATCATATTTTTGTGGGCAAATACAAGTTGTTACAATTAAAACCCCTATTGTGAATATTTTTGTTACCAGGAACCAAGAGAAATATTTCATTTGTGGTAGAACCAATTTGTGAAGTGTTATATTAAATTGTGCTGTTAGATAGTAGGCCTCAGTTCAATTCAATAAACATTTAGTGAGAACTGGCTTGTGCCTGGCCCTGTGGCTATTGAGGACTAAAATGGACTGGACTTGAAGGTTCGAATGTGTGGTGTGAGATGAAGCCCAGTTTTGTTTAATTCTGCTGAGAATGCCAGTCTCTAAGAGAGGGCATTTAAGGTGGGATCTGGAGGAAGGAGAGAAGTAAGGGATGCCAATCTTGATATGACAGTGGGCTCTGGGACTCCTAAACTGGATTATACATAACTGAGTTTTAGAGGTGGGGGTGAGAATGTTCATTCTGTCTTGGAGTATTAGGGAAGGCATCAGAGCTCTCAGAGCTATGTTTGAATGATGGCTGTTGGGTGGTGGTGGGGAGCAATTTGTGTGAAGATAGCGAGGTAGGGAACAGCTTGGGGAACCCTGAGGACTTTGTTTTCCTGAGTGGAAATTTCAAGGGAGATGAGGCAGGAGAGAGGGGCAGGAGCCAGGTCATGGCAACTTGGTGTGCTATATGAAGCTAAGGAATTTGGACTTTATGCAGCTACCAGGAGCCATTGGAGGATCCTGAGAAATAACATGATCATGCTTTCAGTTTTCTGGAGAGCAACGTTTTGGATGGGTTGGGGTGAGCAGAGCCTGAAGGCTGGAGACCAGTTAAGAGATGACATACAGTAGGCCTCAATATTTGTGAATGAGGTGATATATGGGCCTTTGAAATCAGGCAGTGAGTAGAGGGGAAGGATACTGCAGAGGTAAAATGCATGGGACTTGGAGATGGGTGGGATATACCGGGTGAAGAGAAGGAGGGTGTGAGGGAGTCACTGGAGGGGGTGCCTGTGTGGGTGACGGTGGCCTCAAAGCTCAAGTATGCATGTGAAGAAATTTCAAAACAATGTTCCTCCCAAAAGTGTAAAGCTAATTTTATAGTATTAAAAAAAATCTGTATATTAGTTTATTCCCCAAAGGTCACTATAAACACCAAAAAAGAGTAGGGAAATTCTAAAGTTGGCTAGGATTTCCTTTGGCTCATATTAGGAGGCACTCTATTGATATTTGGCAACACCTATTTTTTTAAAAAAAATACCATGTAGAAAATGCAGTCTCAACTGATTTATAATCTTCCTAAATTGATGAATCACTCTGAGGTCAAAATGCCTAGGTAAATATAAGTCTAGAATTAGGACCCAGCTGAACTTTAATCCCTTCCAGTCTGGGAACCCCCACACTGCATTTTGTCTAACAGCAGTGTTAGAGCTGGAGGCTTTCACGATTACTGGACTGATGAGACAATGTTGCCATTACCTTTAGCCCCGATGTACACTCTATGCTTCAAAACTGTATTTTCTAATGCAGCTTAGATATCTCCACCTGTATATTCCAAAGGCATCCCAGGGGGGCATTTCTAATACAGAATTCTTTATCCTTAATCTTCCAGTTTGGGTCTTCTCATGTCACCCCAGTAGTTTCAGTCATGGCATCACACCGCATGCAGCCACTTAAACTAGAAAACTCAGTCATCTTCAGGTCTCCTTCCCTAACCACTCCTAACTCGGTTGTCTTCTGGATTCAGGCTAATTTACATGTGAAATATGTGTGGAATGTGTTGTCTCCTTTTTATTTCTGCTTCCCTCAGTATCTCTAACCTAGAGTGCCTCCTGTCTGACAGGTCTCTTTCTGTAACCTTTCTAGAACACCAAAGCAAAGCAGAAGTAACAGACATTGAAGTGGGAAAAGCTTGAGAATGACCCTTATCTTTTTAGTAAGTGGGAGACCCGTTTACCTTCTTTTAGCGAAATTGGTCAACATGTGAGGACATTGGGCTTGAGGCAAGGAGAAATCATTGGACCAGGCAATGTTAGGTACAGTGGTAATTCATTACATCCTCACTTTCTGGGACCTTCAGACTTGCAAGTAATTTTATTTGCTAACTTTCCACCAATTCAGATGGTAGCACCTTGGTCTAAGCCATCATTGTTTCTTTGCTGGCCCTCTATACAAGTGCCCTAACTAGTTTCCCTGCTTGCACCCTTACCTCCTACACTCCATTCTCAGCACGGCAGCCAGAACGATCCTCTAAAAGCTTAAGGCACGTCATATCAAAACTTTGCAGATGTTTCCCAATCAACTCAGAGAAAAAGCCTAAGTCCATGTAGTGGCTGATTCAGCCTACATAATCCAGTCCCCTTTACCTCACTGCCCTCTCCTCCTGTCCCTGTCTCCCTCCCTCATCCTGCTGTAGCCACACTGGCCTCCTGACAGTTCCTCCATGCTCTGGGCAGGCAGCCTCCCTTCTTAGTGCCTTTGTTCTTATTCTTCCCTTTGCCTGAAACCATGTCACTCATCCCTCACGTCCTTTGGGTCTTTGCTCAAATGTCCCCTTCTAAGTGAGGCTTTTGCTGACTACTCTATTTGAAGTAGCAATGTTCTACCTCTATTTTGTGCCATATTTTTCCCCACAGTACGTATCAACTTTTAATATATTTCACTTATATTTTACTTAATTTCACTACATATGTCACTTAATTTGTTTATTCCCTCATCCCCCCAAAGGTAATCTTGCTTAGGGTAAAATATTCTGTCTATTTTATTCACTGCTGTATTGCCATTGCCTAGATCAGTGCCTATGTCTGTGGCATAGTAGATGCTCAATAAACACTTGCTAAAAATAAATGAGTGAACTCTATACCTGATCATGATGTCATGTTTATCTGTAATACGTTTTCATTTAAGCAAATTTCTAAATCAAAACAAACCCTTTTCAAGAGCAGACATTCTAATTTTTGGTTCAAAGAAGATAGTTATGTTAGTTTTGGCTAACTTGATGAGGGAACAGTAAGAGATGACTCAAATGAGAGAAAGGTGAAAGTGAAGACCCCAGTTGAAAATTTTAAATTGCTTCCTAATTTATCTCTCTGGTTTCATCTCCCCTTATTATGTCGTGTTGGGGAAGCATCTGTTTGGTCTATATCTAATCGCAGACATATAAGAACTGTAATAAAAGTGGGAAGTATACCCGTAGCACAGAGCATCTACTTTTTCAAGGACTCATGTTCACTGCTATAAAATGTATCATTACTCAAAAATGTAATTTCTGTCTTGCTACTGGCAACTGCATAATTCAGCTTAGCCTTTGGAGCTTGGAATCCAGCTAAGTACTTTCTTTTATATTTGCTCAGCCGTACCTTCAAGTTGCTGTGGCAACGAGATTTGTGCTCTGCAGAAGCTCAATATCAGTGGCCTCTGTGCGGTGCCCTGCTTTAAGTTAAGGAGCAGGTAGAGGTGCTCAGATTGTCCACACAGGCACAGAGCATAAGCTTACCACAGCCAGTTGCAAGCCATGAGTGTGGTAGAGTTTAGACACTTCAGCTATTTTTTTTTGGTTATGAATATTCATGAGATACAAAGGTGATTGTCACCCCTCGTACCCAAGATGTGAAGGCCAGATTCATACTGGCAGCATATCCATTAACACAAATTGCATTTGTACCCCATGTCCCCCACTTCAGCTATTTTGGCCATTTGGGGTAGGATGATTCTTTATTCTGCAGGACTATCCTTTTCGGCTCTAGAACATATAGTTGAACGTCCCACCTAGCTGCCCCTGGTATTTCCAGATGCCTCCAGCTAAAAACCACATGCACTATGCTGAAGTGGCAGTGGTTTGGGCATTGAAAGAATGCGTACACAGCACAGGCAAGTGCCTTCTAGCAACCGGACAGAATAAATTGGGAAGTAGTTATGGAAGGCTGACTATGTGCAAGAAATACATGAGGTGCTTTGAGAATGCAAATATGAACATTTCTCAAACTCATTCTTTGAAAAATAGAGCAGTTCAGTGTTTACTAAACTGATGTTTTTAGGTGACAGTTAAGGCCCAGACTACAAAGCTCTTATTATGTGAATTTGAGTTGGAATAAATTTTTTCTAAAAAAATGTTTGTTTGACCTAAACCAACAGGTAGTTAGAAACTTCAAAAAAAAATAGATAGGGATATATTTCATTGTCTTTATAAATATAGCTCACACTTAAGTGTTGAATATAGAGTACTTACACTTCAGATAAAGCCTATGTCCTTATCATGAAACTGATTCTATGCCTTTTTCCTTTTTGCTATTACATTATTTTCCTCTGCACTCTTCCTGTATTGTGTGCTTGAATATATGATTCAGTTTTGTCTTAACTATGAACATGTTGAACATCCAAGCAGTACGAAAGGATACACAGTGACATCATAAGTGCCTCTCCCAAGAGATTACTACGACAAATAGTTTCTTGTAGATCCTTCCAACATTTGTGCATATATCAACATGTATATGAAGACATCTTCGTTTAAAAAAGCACACCAATGGGAGGATATTATATGTATTTACCTACTTTGAGTTCCTAACACATAATGCCTCATATTGTTGGATTCAACAAATATTTGTTGAGTGATTGAATAAACAGTATATCTGTTACAATGTTTACTTTTAGCAGTAAGTTATAGTTCTTTCTTTTAGTAGAAAATAGATCCATATAACAATGTTTTATTATATGGATGTGCCTTCATTCACTGGATATGTCTTCTTTGGAAATGCATTTGGATGTTTTCTAGTCTTTTCTACTGCAAACAGTACATCTTTGGCTATGTTGAGTCCCTTGCATTTCAATATCAATTTTTGGATAGGTTTGTCAACTTTTGCAAAAAGGCAATTGGGATTTTGATAGAGATTTCATTGAATCTACAGATCAATTGAGGGAGTACTGCCATCTTAACAGAATTAAGTTTTCCAATCCATGACACATCTTTTCATTTATGTAGGTCTTCTTTAATTTCTTAATGATGTTTTATAGTTTTCTATTTACAAGTTTTACACTTCTTTTGTTAAATTTATTGATATTCCATTCTTTTTAATGTGATCATAATAGAATTGTTTGCTTAATTTCATTTTCATCTTAATGCATATCTTTGAACAAAGCTTTTCCTCCCCCATTCCAAATGAGTGAGTATATCTGCTGGATAAATTTCTAAATGTGGAGTTGCTGGGTCAAAGGGTATTTATATTTAACATTTTGATAAATGTTTCCAAGTTGGCCTTCAAAGAAGTTGCCACAATTCGTATCAACAGATTATGAGTGATTTTAGTAAGTTGTTTCTTGTAGTATATTTGAGGGGTCTTCAAAAAGTTCATGGGAAAAATCTATATTATCTTTTAATTTCATTTTTTTTTTTTTTTTTTTGTCTTTTGTCTTTTTTCCGTGTCCGGCAACGGATCGCAACCCTCAGTGTTGCCCCCGTACCGGACCGGGGACCGGCAACGGGATCGCAAGCTTCGGCGTCGCTCCCGCGCCTCGCTCAGCCAGTGAGCGGGAGCCGGTCTGTATGTGGGATCCGAACCCTCGGACGGGAGCGCCGCCGCGCCTCCCAAGCGGCGCACTATCCAGTGCGCCACCGGGCCGGCCCCTCATTTCATTTTTTTTAATGAGCTTTTTGAAGTACTCTCATATTACCAAATTTTGAAGCTTACCACTCTGGTAAGAAAAAAATGATATCTCCCTTTGTTTAAATATGCTATTCAGTTAAAAATATGGTTGTGTATATGTTGTTTATGTGGACTACCTTTTTAAAACCTTGGCCCAGTTTTTCTATTTGCAAGTGACTCAATTTTCATGTACCTGTAGATTAGGGTACTTTTTTGGGGGGTGTAACCTAACTTTTAGGATGCCATAATTTATGGTCATTGGAAGTGACTTTTAATTTTTTAAAACAAGTCAAAGAGCTGGATTTTATTTATATCATACATTCACATAAGACTCTACATGTCTCCCATGCACTTTTGTGTGGAATTGGACCCTGGCCAACCAGTGTTATATCCAATGAAATAAGCATTTCCTGGATGCCTAACTGGTGCCAGAAACCCTATTATAGTGATGAATGAGGCAGTATTCCTGCCTTCCTGAGTGCTCACAATCTAGTGTGGAAGCTTAGAGCTTGGTGGAGAAAGGGATTCATTTGCTCGTTTCTTACAGATACGTCTGTTAAAAAGTGTCAGCAGAAGTGTTGACACTTTTGCTTGATTTTGAAGACTGATTTTGCTAGGTTGAGAAAGCAAGTGGGTAGTTCTGGCTGAAGCAAAGGCCAGAAGGTGAAAGTGCTTGGCAAGTTTTGTGAATGCTTGGGGTTAGTAAGTGTAGAGTTTACCCCTATGTGGTGGAACAGGTAGGACATGGGGCTAGGAAGGTAGGTTGAGGCCATATTGTCCAGTGGCTTGAATCCCATGCTCAAGAATTTGATTTTTGTCTTTTTGACTCTGGAAGGCATCAGTTTTTGAAGGGTGAGATTTTAATGTGGAGGCCCAATCAGTGGTGATGATGATGATAAAATAGCTATGCTAAGGGTTATTTAAATATTAACTCATTCAGCCTCATAACTTCCATATGAGTCTACTGTATAATTTACAGATTTGAAACTGGATTATCTTAATAATGTACTTATCACATTAAACAATTATTTTTTACAGAAATTTGTTTTACATGAAACTTCAGAAACTTATCTATGGTGCAAAACAAAAACATAAACAAAAACCTTTCTTTTTCCTTTTTTTTGTATTGCTTTTCTGGGTTTTATTTAAACTAGGAGTCATACACTCAGATGCCTCAGGTCCTTGAAGGCCCTGAAAATGAAAGAGGCCATCAAGTGGAAAGGGCTCACTTTTCCTGTGTGAGTGGGGGTGTGCAGAGCTCAGGTCTTGTCCCAAGGGGGCAGTTAGGGTTGTGCTTAACTGTGTAGGAAGGTGGACCCAAGTATTGGTAGAGCTTCTGATTTTTTATGTGAATTCTCCTAATTAAATGTTGGCTCAAATTTTCAAAACAATGGGCAGCCCTAACCAAACATATATGGCCTAAGATTAACAATCTACCTCTATTTTAAATATTTACTGTAGACATTTTAGACTAGCCAAAATAGTTAATCAATTTAGGTATGATCTCATTGAGAACAGTCCTTATTCTCTAGGGAAGGGACAGAGTCAAGACTCTTTCTGAATTGCCACTTTGAAGATCAGAAGTACAGTCACTTCTCATTAGTTTAGATGCTGTAATTTAGGAGTACATGGAGGAAGATACTGCTTATATGATATGGGAGAGTGATGAGTATGGAGGGGGAGGTGGGTGATGGCTAATATTTTGGGAGGAGATTTAAAGCTTCTAACACTGAAAAATAAATTTGTATTGCCAAAATTGAAAGTCTTTAGAAAGTTTTAAGAATTTTAGGTCACTGAAGATCTTCAGAAAAATCAGTCTTGATAGGAAAGGTGTCATTTCCATTTTCGAAAACAACTTATTTCTAAACAACTTATTTATAGAAAAACTACAAAGCAAGATTTTCTTTTAAAAGCCTATTTGGGGCCAAGCCCGTGGCGCACTCGGGAGAGTGTGGCGCTGGGAGCGCAGAAGCGCTCCCGCCGAGGGTTTGGATCCTATATAGGGATGACCCGTGCGCTCACAGCGCTCACTGGCTGAGCGCGGTGCAGCCGGTCTCAAAAAAGGACCAAAAAAATAAATAAATAAAAGCCTATTTTGTATTCACTTTTTACAATTTAAAAGAAATGGCCAAAATGCTATTTCAGGTTATTCAGGATAATTTTTTGTAGAAACAGGATGGAATACAGTATCATCCTGTGTGGTCTGGTCATTTCTCTGGGTCTTAATGCTGAAATGAACAACTAACTTTTAGGCAGAGATGGCTTGAATTTATATTCCCATATGTGCTGTGAATTGTCAGAGGGTAATATTAAAATAGCCTATTGATTTCTTCAGTTTTGTTTCGGTGGGGAAGTGGAGTCATAAGATCAAGTATTGATCAAATCAACTAAGATAAAATGAGTAAAATTGTGCTGTGTAATAACTTGTTATGTTAGATGTTTATCCGGAATTGTTATTATCAAATGTGATATTTTTACCTTTATAGTTTTTCTTCTACAGTTAGGAGGTTGAGAAAATGCTTTAAAATAAATTTTAAAAGTTTGTATGCAAATATCTTAATGGTTTATCATAAAACACCACATCAAAACCCCTATACAAATGAATACTAAATAAATAAAAATTCATAAGAGAGCCTTAGGAAAACTGGAATACATTTTTTCCTTATTATTAGGTAATGACACATTTACCAGCCTACTCACACAAATTTCTTGATCCATCATCTTAATGTAATAGTTCTGGAGGTGGGTGGCAGCCTTAAGTAAAACTGCCTTTTATGTAGAAAAAGATTATTGTAGGTTGCTTGGATTATCATGCTCTGGCAAAAGAATGCAAAAAGAAAATGCTTTGTCAACATGAAGCTAAAAGAAATGTGATGACTGGCATGGAGCATAAGCAGATTTGCAAATTTATCCTCACCAATTATGTTATACATGTTCTCAAATTTTGTCTTTCAATAACATTTTTTTTCCTGGTTATAAGATGAAATTATGCATATTGGGTAGATTTTGAAAATACTAAAAAACAAGCAAACAAAAACAAATAACTATTCAGAATCCCATCACTTAGAGATAATTGTGTAAAGTAATGGGTGGAAGTCAGAGAGATCTTGGATTTGAGTCAATTTTTTACTACTTATTAGAGGTTGAGTATCTCTTATCTGAAATGCTTGGGACCAGAAATGCTTTAGATTTCAGATTTTTTTTGGAGTTTGGAATATTTGTGGATACATAATGAGAGATCTTAGAGATGGGAATCAAGTTTAAACATGAAGTTCATTTATGTTCATTTATATATATATATATATACACACACACAACTTATTATGTATTTATTCACCTTATACACATAGTATCTTAGAGATGGGAATCAAGTTTAAACATGAAGTTCATTTATGTTCATTTATATATATATATATATATACACACACACAACTTATTATGTATTTATTCACCTTATACACATAGCTTGAGGGCAACTACATATAATATTTTAAATAATTTTTTGTATGAAACAAAGTTTTGCGTTTTGACTGTGACCCTCACACTGAGGTCAGGTGTGGACTTTTCCACTTGTGCTATCATGTCAGTACTCAGAAAGTTTTGGATTTTGGAGCATTGCAGATTTTGGATTTTCAGATCAGGGATGCTCAGCCTATATTATTGGTCTTTAAAAATAAATTACTTCACTTTTCTGTGCTTCAGTTTCCTCATCTATAAAACGGGAGTAACAATAAAATTTACCCTATAGGGCAGTTGTGAAGGAAGTCTCTAGGAGACCTTGATATGTGGTGAATATTGCATGTACTACTTACTGTTATTTATTTCTAGTCTTTTTTCTAAGTATATATTTTTGATTGTAGATAAGAACATGCTATGTATTTGTTTCCTTTTTTTACTTACTATCATATAAGTATTTTCTTGTGCTATTTCAACTTGATGAACAGCCTTATGCTAAAACATTGACTATATCAAAGAATATTTTTAACCTCTCTGAGCTCTTCCTGTAAAATGGGGTAAAAATAATACATATTTCATGTGGTCGTTGTGAAGACTGGATAGTTTGATATCTAATGCTGGCACATGGGGATCACTGAATCAGTGTTAGTGCCTATTGTTTGTTATTATATTCAACACTTGTTTGCTTTTTAATTAAATGTGAGAGCATGGCAGTGATTTTCACAAGTAATATGAGTATAAGCTGTAAAATATAAAATAGGGCAATGCAATTTTCTTTTTTAGTTCAAAATGAATTTATTTTCCCCCATTTTAAATATGACAGAAGTATTTTATCTGCTTTTAATTTATTGGCCAGAAGACAACATGGGAAGTGGCATTTGATTTAATTAACCTCATGAAGAATTTTTTATAATTTTTTTCAATGATCCAAAGATGGAATGTGGTTTTTACCCACATTATTCCTGTAAAAAGACAAAAATGCCTTACATTAGTTTTTAAAAATTTAGATGTAAGCAAAATACTTGCAAATAACAGTGCTAGCATTTATAGAGTGCCTGCTGCGTGCTGCACACTGCTCCAGGTATTTTTCTTATATTAACTCATGTAATCCTTACAGTGTCCTATGAAGAAGGTTCTTTTGTTTCCATTTTATAGATGAAGGAACTGAGGCACAGAGAAGTTAAAAAATTTCGATGAAGGTTAATTTAGATTAAAGTAATTTAATTTAGGGAGAAAATTTCATCCTATATATTCCAGTTTTAGAGCTCATGCATTTTAAAGCATTTCACTGTTACTTATTCAGAAAGCAAAAGAATAAGCAATTTAGTACAATACCAATATGTTTACAGTGAGTTTGTGTTAATCCAAGAATGTGATAATATTACATTCAAGAGTAAGTTTTAAAAATTTCCTCTCTTTTGTGGAAATAAATGTGTGCAATTTTCAATTCGTTTTTTTCCCTTTTAGTTTTTCAGTTATGGAACAAAAATATTACATCAAAACACTGAAGCTTTACGGTCTAAATTCTTTCCACCCCTCCAAAAAGCGATGCTACCACCCAATAGTTTTCAAGGAAAAGTGGCGTTCATTACTGGGGGAGGTACTGGCCTTGGAAAAGGAATGACAACTCTTCTGTCCAGCCTGGGTGCTCAGTGTGTGATAGCTAGCCGGTAAGCCAGTCTCAGCCTGTCACTTGGCAAGCAAGAGTCTGTTGAAGAAACTGTTCTGTGCCACAATATTGAAAACACTGTTTGCCGGAGTTGTTTGATTTGTATCTTAATCTTATATGAAATATTCCTATAGATTACTTAAATAAATCTCCTTGGAAAAAGACAGTTATAATTTGAGATGATGGAAATAATGAAATTTATGGAACTGATATGGTGTTTACATTTCTCAAATTCAGTGATAGAATTTTTTTTTTTTTCTGTACACGAAGACGAAAAGTTTTACATTGAGGCTGCTTTGTTTTTGGTGGGAGTGATTATGGTTACTACATCATAACTGATAATTAACCTTGTACCAAGATAATGGATGTAATCATTCCATTTTCTATAAGATGGACAGATATTTCAAAACATCTATTGTGATAAATATAGGAAAGGAAGACCATATGGAAGGAATGTCTTCTTATTTAGGCATATCCTGGTACCCTGTAACTACATAAGTCTGGAGCTTTGAAGACTGGTGAAAAAAACCCACCCCTTCTTCCAATTTTGAATGGTGTGAAATTTTAGGTAGGCCAGGTAGTCATCTGAACCACAGTCACTGTGTCATTCACAAATGCAGATTGGCCAGAACGTTTTTTTTAATGTTATAATGTTTTTAAGAGTTTTAAAATATTATTTTCATTTTAATACTACAAAATTTATATTCATGGTTTATTTTTTGTGTTTCTTTCAAGAGCATGAGATTCTGACTGCATATGGGTTATCCAAACCCTACTAACATTATATCATGAATGTATTTTCTTTGTAAAGCTGGAGTTGGCAAGAGAACAGATACAATGATTATAATTAAGGAAGTAATTTAAATCTTTAAGTAGATAATGCTAAAGTAACTCGGTTAAATGTGAATAATTCAATAAATTAGTATCAGATATGTAAATATTCTTTTAGAAAATGAACTTATTTAAATTGATTTCTGTGTAGATATAACTTTTGTACTGTCTCAGAAATGCTTTTCTTTAAGCTGTGGATTCTGTGTGTTCTTTACCTTATGGAATTAAAAAGATAAAATATAATAAGTTATTTCAGAACTCATGCAAAGTACCATGTCTTTATCTCTAGGAAGATTGATGTTTTGAAGGCTACCGCAGAACAAATTTCTTCTCAAACTGGAAATGAGGTACGTTAAAAAGCAGTGATTTAATTTACATTTAGGAATGATAACATGTTTAAATAATTTTATTCATGTCTTTGGTTTAGGAAATCTGGAAAGTGTAGGATTCTTTTTTCTCTTTGTTATTTTGCAGGTTCATGCGATTCATTGTGATGTGAGGGATCCTGATATGGTTAAAAACACTGTGTCGGAATTGATCAAAGTCGCAGGGCATCCTGATGTAAGTGCAATTGTGATGAGGCCAAAGTATGAGGTGTTTGATGTTGGTAACATCAAGATCACCTAGATGCACAGAGGAAATAAAATACTGATGTGAGCGAGTGCTATGTTGAGAAGCACCTATTTTCTGTCCCTAGGAAAATGCCATCTCTGCTTAAAGCAGGGAACAGTTTAGGTGGACTGCTACACTGCTTCCTTTCAGGAGTACTTAAAAAAATGCATCTGTAATCAGAACAAGCTTGATTTCACTTCATTTAATAAGGTTATATAATAACAAGAGCAGTAATCCAAGAGCACAATATGTAGTTTAAATGATTTATGCTCTTTGCTTTTCCTAATAACTTTTGATTATCTCTCACATGGATGAGAGCAATACAAACAAGGAAAACTACAAGAAATTCCAAATTTCTCCTTGTAAGACCAGAGATATTAACGGGTATTTTGCTGTTATTTGGTTCATTTACTGGAGAAAAGCCATTTCTTCCAATAGTCTCAAACAGAGTAATTTTCTGTGTTAAAAATATATTCAGACAGACCAATAATATTGAATCTGCTGTGGGATTAAGCAAAATCTTTATTGATAGTGAATAAACAGGTCAGCAACCAAGAGTTTCATCGGGTAAGTTAAACTAAAATGACATCAGAAATTAAAAGGCATTTTTTTGAGATTCCTTGAAATAAAGTTTAGTCACGTAGTAGATGCTTAATCTGTATTTATTTTCTTAATGATAGAATCTATGCTAATTTTGAGACAGGAATTAAGATTCTGAAATTTAGTAAATAACACAGGAGATTTCACAGATTCCAAAAACATAAAACTGAGTTAAATCTCATGGTATTGTTTCGTAGCTGACTGTGACCATCATCTTTATTGTATTATTTGGATTAATAAGTTTCAGAAATAAAAGCACTGGAGAGAAGAAGTTCTTCCTCATCTAAAAGTTTCTGTTAACTTGCCTTATTTATTTATTAGATCGTGATAAACAATGCAGCAGGGAATTTTATTTCTCCCTCTGAAAGACTTTCTCCTAATGCTTGGAAGACCATAACTGACATAGTTCTAAATGGCACAGCCTTTGTGACACTAGAAATTGGAAAACAACTAATTAAAGCACAGAAAGGTATGCTTATTTATTTTTCACATATTTAGTGGCCCCTATCGTATACAGGTTCTGTGCTAAGCCCTGGGATGCTTATAAAAGTGAATGAGACGTTCTACAGTTGTACAACTCACAATGTAATGGAAAAGAAAGATACTTAAATATTACCATATGTTATGATATGAACTATAGTAAATAAATGTTTCAAATGCATTGGAAATCCAGAGACAGGAATGACTCCTCTCCCTCAGGTCAGTGATCAGACTGAGGAGCAAGATGTAATTTGAACTAAATTTTCAAAGATCTAGAGGTGGAGAAAGGGGAGGGAAAGGAACTGCGAATGTCCAGTGATAGAGGCTTGGTGGAGATGGAAAGCAGTAGGGCTTAGGGAATGATGAGAAATTTGACACTGTTAGAGATGGGGGGAGAGGGGAAGGAAATGATTTGGGGGAGGTGGGTTGAGGTGTAATTGGGAAAGATCTCAATACCAAAATAGGGAGTTTGATGTTAATTCTGAAAGAAATGGGAAGCTATTTCCTTGTGGATTTTCATTGAAGGTGTCTCATGAAGAATGTGACTTGATTGAAAATGAAGCTGGCAACAATGTAGGGTATGGAAAAGATTGAGGGGACCCATTAAGGAGGGTTTGATTGATTTTTTTTTTTGCACATGGATAGATAGCATGGGAGGTAAGGTAGGAGACATTTAGAAGATAAGTTTGACAGGCCTTACTGATAAGATGAGAGTTTTTAGCTGGAGTGCACAGTTTGGATGACGATGATATCAATGAGGTTCAGAACACTGGGGTTGAGAATAGATTTAGAGGGAGGTTGCTGGGAGAATATTTTTGTTAGTTCAATGAACAAATTTCTTTATAAAAATTTGTGTGTATGAATGGTAAACATATATATAATGTCTATGTGTATATACATATATGTCTAGAACCAGCATATATTTATTTCCTTAGATACTTACTGATAACTTTTGTGTACCAGGCCCTGTGCTGCCAAAACACAGAGGTGGACAAGACTCTATTCCTGAATAGGTTGGGGTTGGGTCTTGAAGGATGGGGGCATCTTCTCAGAGAAGGTAGAGAGTTTTCTGAACAAGGACAAAGAGAAAGGATGTAGGAATAGGCAGAGGTACGCTAGAGAGGACTAGCTTTTTTTTTTGCGGGGTGGCTAATAACTTCCGCCCTTTCTCCATGCACTCATTGAAGTTGAAATCGTCCCTCATTTCCAGTACAGCAAAGTGGATAATTTATATTTGGATTTGGGTGATATATTTTGATTTTATTTATTTATTTTCAGGAAGGGAGATCAATAGGTTGGGAAGAGAGACAGGGAACCCTGATCTCCCCTGCCCCCCTGGCTCATGTTTCAATTTTTTTCTCTTTCTGCCTCTGTCAGCTCTACATTTTTGGTTCTCTGTTTCTCTCGTCATCTCTGTCTCTTTCATCACTTTGTCTCTCTCTGCTTCATTGTCTCTTTTATTTCTTTCCTTGCCTGTTTCTGTGATCCTTGATTTCTGTCTGACTCTCCCTTCTTTTCTCATTATTGTCTTTCATTTTAACATAGACTTTGATTTATTTTTACTGATCATATTGGATTAAAATTCCATGGGCTTTGTTAAGAATAGATAAGACTTTTTAAAAGATGGAAGCCAGTTTTTATTCTTCCAAGATTCCTGTCAGTTATTGATGCTGTTACCTGACAGAGTTTGGAGAACTTGGACCACTGGGCTGAAGAGAGTACAGTGTAAAGGATCTATTCTGGTATTGGATCAACAGTCAAGGAACTCAGGTGCTAATGGTCTCTCAAGTGTGTCAGTGTGGGGAAACCTGGAAGTCACTTCAGGGGACAGCAATCTTTGATAATCTGTGATCATAAATATGTTAGGTGATGTAATAGCAGGAAATCAATCAAGGTAAGCCATCTGGGAAATCAGACTAGAGAAGGTAAGGGCACCAGCAACTGGAAGATAGAAGCTCACTTCCTGGGGGCAGGAATTGGTGATGATGTGCATTGGGAGGGGACAGCAGATGACTGAGGATCAAGAGCACCATGGCCTTAGCAGGGACAGAGAAACTAGAATTAAAGGGACTGACAACATTAATGCAAAATGCACAATTGTGAACAAATAAAGGATTTAGGAAACTTCTAAAGACATTAGCCCAATGAACTCTTATAGCTACAAAGGTCAATAAATAAATGGCTGATCCTTGTTGGGAAGGATATTGAAAATATTGTACTGAGGTCCATTTATCACTAGAATTCATGTATAAAAATGAAAAAGATTAATACACAGTATGGAAAAGAGTACCTAATTTTATTGAAGAATTGAGACAATTTACAATTAGGAAAGACTGAGACAGACTGATATGGGGTTTTTAGAGTATTCACAAAGGATATGAATAGGATAAATATTTATTTTTCCACCAAATCCTAGATCACTAAAAAAAAGAGGTACCTCTTAAAACTCACAAGAGGTGATGTTAGGACATTAATAATTGCTTTAGTCAGTTTGAGTTGCTATAACAAATTACCATATACTAGTGGTGTAAACAACAAACATTTATTTCTCACAGTTCTGGAGGTCAGAAGTCTGAGATCAGGGTGCCAGTATGGCCAGGAATTTGGTGGGGGCCCCTTCCTGGTTATGTCTTCACATGGCCTTTTCTTGGTGTGTGCATACAGAGAGAGCTTATAGCTCTTCCTCTTTCTGTGTGGCCATTAATTCTATCATGGGGGCTCCACCCTCATGATTTAATCCAGCCCTAACTACCTCCCAAAAGTCCCACTTCCAAATACGATCATATTGGGTGTTAGGATTTCAACATATGTATTTTGGGGAGGCACATTCAGCCCATAGCAATATACTTTATATCACTATATAATTTACAAAGTGCTTTCACATATAGTATGAAAACAGTATGAAATCCAAAAGTATTATAAGCCTAAATATAGATTGAAGAAAAAAGTAAATCAGTGCATAATATAGCTTTATGTATCATGTTTAGTGTGCTAAAATTGAGGTAAAATTTACATATAGTGAAATGCACAGGTATTATATGTGTACAAATTGATGTTTTGATAAACTTACACACTTTCACAACCATTTCCCCAGTCAAGACAGAACATTTCCATGGCCCTCAAAATTTTTCCCTTGCCACCTCCACAGTCCTCACTATTTTTTAAATTGTTAGCCCATTTTTATTGGGTTGTTTGTCTTATTGATTTGTAGAAAATTTTTATATAATCTGAACTGATTACCTTTCTGATAGTATGTATTTAGAATATTTCTTCCCCCTTTGTGTTTTGCCTTTTCATTTTCTTCACAGTGTCTTTTAATAAGCAGAAGAAATTTTAGATTTGGATAAATCTGCCAAACTGTTTTCCAAATTGGTTGTATAATTTTGAATTCCCAATAGCAATTCATAAGTTCCAGCTGCTCCACATCGTTGCCAATACTTGCTGTTCTTAGTCTTTTTAAACTTTAGTCACTCTTGGGTTGTGTAGTGGTTTCTCATCTGTGGTGTTAACTTACATTTTCCTAATGACTAACAATGCTCAGCATCTTTTCATGTGCTTATTCCTTATTCGTATGTATTCTTCCATAAAGTGTCTTTTCAAATCTTTTGTTCATTTAAAAAATTGTTTTGTCTTCCTGGTTTTGAATTGAAAGAATTACTGTTATTTATTCTGGGTAGAAGTCCTTTATCAGATGTATGTTTTGCAAATATTTTTCCCAGTCTGTGACTTGTTTTTTCATGTCCTTAATAATGTCTTCTGGGGAGAATAGCTTTTTAGTTTTTATGTTGTCCAACCTATGCAATCTATGGCTCATGCTTTTTGAGCCTTATCAAGAAGTCTTTGCCTAACTCAAGGTCACAAGTAATTTCCCTTTTCTTTTCTTTTGGAAGTTTCATAGTTTCTGCTCCTAACATTTAGGTCTGCGATCCATTTTGAGTTAACATACATTTATGGTATGAGGTAATGGTTTAGTTAAGTTTTTTGCATATAGCTGTCTATCCTTTCCTCACTAAATTACCTTGTTACTTTTGTCTAAAATCATTTTATATATGTGTGTATATATTAATCTATATGTTTATCATTATTTTGATTACTTATATTTGTAATATATACACATAGTATGCGTTTTATATGTTATACGTTGAATACTTTAGCTTTATATTAACTTGAAATGAAGTAGTGTGTGTCCTCCAACTTTATTGGTTTTAAAAATTGTTTTGGCTGTTCTATGTGCTTTTCATTTTCATATAAATTTTAGAATTAACTTGATAATTTCTACCAAAAAACCTATTGAGAATTTGACCAGGGTTGTGTTAAATTTGTAGATTACAATGGGGAGAACTGACATTTTAATTATGTTAAGTCTTCCAATTCATTAATTTCTGTTGGCAATGCTTTACTGTTTTCAGGTTATAGGTCTTGCACATGTTTTGTTAATTTTCTCCCAAAGAATTTTATATTTTGGTGCTATTGCAAATGGTTTTGTTTTCTTAATTTTATTTTCCAAGTGTTTTCTGGTAGTATTTAGAAATATAATGGTACTTTGTGTCTTGATCTTTTTCTAGGAGCTTGCTAAGCTCACTTGATAGTTCTTACAGCTTTTTTGTTAAATTCTTTTGGATTTTCTACATTGATGATAATGCTATTTATGGACCATCAAGTATCTGAGATATAAGTTATGACCCATAAATAAAATGGATTATAAAAGCCAGAGCCCTGATATCACTTACTGTAATTAAACTTGCAAATATTAATTGTTTAAGTAGGAAAAATCTTTGCTTGATAGGTAATGTTCTTTTATAAAGGGTTATTCTTTTATAAAGGGTGTTATAAAGGTAATATGCTTTTATAAAGGGTTATTTTTTATTTTTAAAGTTACATAGTACTCCTTTGAATAACTTTTAGAACTGTTGGGAAAAATAGGAAAATATCAGGGCTCCTCAGATGTTTAGAATCTTGCCGAGCATTTGCTGTAAATATCCTCAGGTG